TGGCAGGCTTGAGTTCCTTCACACCCTCACCAGACCAGACCTCAGGGTGTTCTCTCCCCTCTCTGACAGTGAGAGGCAGTGATCTCCTAGCCTTAAGCTGCTTGCCTGTCAGAGAGTGCGGTGGAGGACAGTGCCTGCTCTGTCTGCAGTCCCCAGACCCAGCATTTGCTCGGACCTCCCCTCTTGGCCAGCAGTCAGCCAGGTGGCCAAGCCTGACATGCGAGGGCTCAGACCCGGCATGGAGGGTTCGAGGGGGACGGGTCGGGGATGCCGGGGCTCCCGCTCCGCTTGGGCGCGGGGCGCTGGGGCTGGCAGGTGTGCAGTGGGCAGGTGAGGCTGAGTCATCCGGGACTCTGGGCGTGGCTTCCTGGATCAGCTCCAGGGTTGACACGAAGGTTCCAGTAACGGGTGGCTGAGCTGGGCTAATTGCTGCTGGTGCTGCCCCAGCCCTACCCTGCACGTAGCAGGAACAGGGGGAGGGGAGAGGAGGGAAGGGGAGGGGAGAGAAGGAGAGGGAGGGGAGAGGAGGGAGGGGAAGGGGGGAGGGAGGGGAGAGGAGGGAAGGGGAGGAGAGAGAAGGAGAGGGAGGGGAGAGGAGGGAAGGGGAGGAGAGAGAAGGAGAGGGAGGGGAGAGGAGGGAAGGGGAGGGGAGAGAAGGAGAGGGAGGGGAGAGGAGGGAGAGGAGAGAGAAGGAGGGCAGAGGAGGGAAGGGGAGGGGAGAGAAGGGAGGGGAGAGGAGGGAGGGGGAGGGGAGGAGGAGGGGGGAGGGGAGATGGAGGGGGAGATGGGGGAGGGGCGTCAGGACAGGAATGAGGAGGCTCCCACAGGGGTCTCAAAGACTGACACTCACCCTGCTGGAGCCCCGCCCCAGGCTCTGCCTGGCAGCAGGGCTGAGGAAAGGGGCAGGGAGCCAGGGTGGTGGGCTCCCCACCTGGGAGGCCTGCGGGGAAGCGGATGGGCTCTGTGTTCTGGGATCCCTGGGGCTCTGCGGTCCTGGGTGGCCCTCCCCTCCTGGGTGCCCAGCGCACAGCCCAGGGCATCGCAGACACTTGGCGAGAGGAGGGGCACGTGACAGATGCTGGTGGTGCTTAGGGCTGAGCTGCACCAGTGCGCCCACACGTCCTGTGTCTGCGAGCAAGTCGCCGTCCTCCTCTGAGCCTCAGTGTCCCCATCTACGAAACGGGGCGTGTTCACCTTGGCCCTGCCCCACAGTCACGGGTGGTGGGTTATGAGGCAGGACCCCCCGGTGTTCTTCCTGAAGGGTTCGTCAGTTTGGGAAAGAGTCGGGCTTCCCTGGTGGCTGGGATGGTAAAGAATCCACCTGCAATGCAGGAGACCCAGGTTCGATCAGTGGGTTGGGAAGATCCCCTGGAGAAGGAAATGGCCACCCACTGCAGTACTCTGGCCTGGAGAATCCCATTGACAGAGGAGCCCAGTGGGCTACAGTCCATGAGGTTGGAAAGATTTGGACACAACTGAGTGATGAACACTTTGGGAGGAGTCTGTGAAGAACTTGGATGGATGAATCGGAGGGAGAGGGGCTGGACCGGGACAAGGCTGCTGGGCAGGGGGTCCTTGGGCACCAGCTCAGAGACCACCCATACCCCAGGGTGCATGAGGCCCTGGGTAGGTCGTGCACCAACTGGGCTAGAAACAATCTTGAGGTGAGAAGTTCAGGTGCTCCTCCTAAGTGCCAGGCGACAGGTCCCAGGCCCTCATGGTGGAGGTGGCTGTCTATAGCCCACCCCCGGCAAGAACCCGGTCACTAGTTGACTGGTTGACAGCCTCAAAGAGCCATCGTCTTGCAGGTAGAGGGGTGCCGGAGGAGCTACTTGTCAGGGAGCAGGAGGTGGGGGTGGGCCCAGCTGTGTCCCGTCAGGGCTGGGCACCAGCGTGGCAGAGCTGACGGAGGCTGCGGGCCAGGCTCTGCCTCCCCAGACGGTGGTCCCACGGGCAGCTGGCCCAGCATGGCCAGATCTTTTGGTTCTTAGGAGAAGCCTCCACCCCATTACTCTGGAAATGGCTCTGATTTTAAGGACCTAGCAACGTGTTCCTCCTGCTGTGCAGAGGCAGCTGTAGGGAGGCTCGGGGTGGGGGCAGGGAGGGGCCGGCCACCTGTAGGGTCCCCGGGGGCCAAGCGGGAGGGTCCCCGTGCCGTCTGTCGCCGTGTGGGTGTCGCTAACCATTTTTTTGTTTTGAATAATTCTTAACTCGGTGTTCATTTTGCACTGGTCCCGACCTGGGTGCAGGGAGACCTGAGCCCACCTAGGGGGAGGAAGGGAGAGAGAGAGACCTTCAAACACAGGGGAGGAAAAAATGGGGGAGGATGGGAGCTGGTGAGTAAGGGGCTGGGCTGGGGGCTGGGGCAGGCTGGGGCTGTGACCTGTGTGTGAGCGGTGCGGCTCTCAGCTGGGGATCTGTGAGTGTGAGTGTGTGTGTGTGTGTGCGCGCGCACAGGGGAGATGGTGGCGGGCAGGGAGAGGCACGGGCCAGCCTGACAAATATTTATTGAGCCCTGCTCTGCCAGGCCTGGGGAGGCCTGAGATGAGTAAGCCTGGCCTTGCCTGGAGGCCCCACAGCTCCTGAGGGCAAGAGGGTGTAAACAGTGAAAGGAATGAAGGCAGATGAGCAGCCCCCAGGCCAGGCGGGGCGGGGGGGGGGGGGGGGGAGACAGGGGTGAGGCTGCCCTCCCCGCAGACACACCCCAGGGGCTCCCTCAGCACCAGCAGCCCCCCACCCCTCGGGGGCGGGGAAGGAGTGGTCACGCCCTGGGGCCAGGCTGCCTGGGGCTGCGCTGGGCTCTGCCGGTCAGGTGGGGTGAGGGCGGCGTCCTGAGGCAGACACACCCCTGTGGAGGAGGCAAGGCCCACCCCAGTCACCCCCCAGGGCCCGCAAGAGCCCCGCTTGCCGCGGGGTCACCCTCCTTCTCCGTCTCTGACCTTTGTTCAGTGTCCAGCTCCACAGGGCCGGGCCGCCCAGTCCCCTCTGAAGGCTGTGGGGAGGCTGGGAGCAGATAAAGGAGGAGGAAAGCGCCCCATAAACTGCAAACGGCAGGACAAAGGTCGACGTGCTGTGGGCGCAGCTGCCTCGGCCCTTTGGCACAGGACGAAGGGCGGGCCTGGAGCTCCCGCCCAGCAGACCCTCACCTGCGCCTCCCGGGGGACGGGGGTCCTGGGTGCCCAGGCCCACTCTCAGAAAGGACACAGGCAGCCAGGGAGCCCCTCCAGGGGTGTGAGGACCCCGATAACTTGGCTGGAGAGGTGAGCACAGTGCCTGGCACAGCCATTTTCAGGAAATGAGGTGATTGCTGGGCTGGGACCCCAGCAGACAGAGCAGATGCATGGAAGCTGGGGCGGCTGGAGGCTAAACCCCCACCCTCCCCCGCCAGGAACCCCCTTCAGAAGGGACACCTCTACCCAAAGGACTCCAGAGTATTCTAGCTTCTCCCATGGCTCCATCCGCTCCTGACGACTTCCCCACCCTCCTCTCCAGGTCCTGTCCTCCAGGATGAGTGAGCCCTCCCCAACATGTGTGCACACACATGTACACACATGCACACACATGTACGTATAAGCACACGTATAGATGCATGCACACACATCTGTTTTCCTCTGATCCCTTCCTTATCCACATTCACTTAATGAATAATCTGATATTTCTAAGACAACTAAAGAGCATTTCAGACCCACAAAGTGGCTTTCTAAAGTGCTGACGGGAAATTGCTGGCCCCACGGGGAAACTTCAGGAGGACCCAGGACAGCCCCTCAGAACCCAGATGCATCGTCCCGTGCCACAGAGCTGCACCATCTGGAATCCGCCGCCAAGCCCTGACCCTGGAGAAACCGCTGGGAGCCAGCCTCTCAGCCCACGAGTCCCCGGGGCCATCGAGCAGTCTCCCTCCTGGGGAGGGGGTCACAAGGGCAATGCCTCCCCCGAGTCTGTCTCAAGCGCGCTTCTTGCTTTGTTTTTCCCTCCACGAGCTCATAACTGATTCCATGTCTGACAACGAAAACTCGGATTTATCAGACGGTTACTCAGCATGCCGTCGACTTGACTGGAATGCACAACATCTACTCCATGAGGCCAGCCACACACCCCGACTCCTCAGCAGACGCGGTGCACATTGGCCCGATGTGGGAAGTGGCCAGCAGAAGCCTGGTTCAGCCCAGGCCACCCGGCTGGCACCTTGTCTGCAGGATGGCCTCACCCACCCCTAGCCCCAGCTGTCAGGCCTGTGCCCCCGAGCCTCAGCTCTGGGACGTGGAGCCCACCCTACGGTCTGCCCTGCCTTCACCTCCAGCCAGCAGAGCCCTGCCCCGGTCGCCTTTCCCAAACCCGCTGCCTGCACCCAGGCCAGAGCTGCAGAGTCTGGTGCACAGGTCGCTAAGACAAAGGTTAGAAAAAGTCCAGAAGGCACTTTATTGGAGTGCTCCCCTTCACATGGGGAGGGAGCAGGAGCCCCATCCCTCACCAGCCCAGCTGAGGGCCTCGAACAGCTGGTGTGGCACCAGTGCCTGGTGTGGGAGGAGTGGGAAGGGAACGTCTTAGAAAAAATAGATCTCTATGTACATGTCCGTATTTATAGCACATAAATTAGGGCGTGCTCTGACCCCTGCCCGCGGAGTCCAAGCACTGAGTGGGGAGGAGGAAGCCAGTCCAGAGAGGGGGCCCCTCCTCAAGGCCCAGGACCCATGGCCTCCTCGGACCGTCCAGCCTCTGCAGGAGGCAGCTGTCCCCAGCTGGGGTCCAGTCAAGTCCAGTCAGACAGAAGGGGCTGCCCGCGCAGCGACGGCCAGTGTACAGTCACCTCCGACTCCAGGCTTGTAATTCCCATAGGAGGGCAGACTGCAGGGACCACTGGCCCCAGAGGCCAGGACGATGCGGACGGGACCCAGGGCCTCAGCTGCTCTCCACGGCATGGGGTGCGCGCCTGGATGGCCAGGTGGTCCTCCCAAGGGCTGCACTTCACATCGAGCGTGGTCGCGGGGTTGATCCGCCCCTCAGTTCCTGTGTCCCACCACCTCCTCCTCCTTCCAGCCGCTGGAGTTCCTGCCGAACTTGTAGACGAGCCTCCGGCCGTCCACCCGCTCGAGGATCTCCCGCTTGTAGTAGTACCTGAGGGGGACGGGTGGTCAGAGGTGCCGGGCAGGGGCCGACCTGCCCAGTGTCCTCAGGTGACCTGCCCGCTGGGCTCTGGCCCCGGGGAAATGGGCCTGAACCACGTCCTGCATGGGAGGAGCCCTCTCTCCCTCACCCGGCCCTGTCGGGGGCATCTGGCCCTCCCGGGGACTCTGCATGGAGCAGTGTGGTCTCGGGGCTGGAGGAAACCTTAGTGATGGTCTGGGAGGAAACTGAGGCACAGAGCCAAGCAGCTTAATTACTTCAATGGTGTAGGCCATGGCTAACGCCCTTTTTAGCACCAAGTGCCTTTCCTGGGACAAGCCTTGCAGATGATACAAAGAAATGCTCATCAGATCAAGTTCAGTATGTGCTGCAGGCCAGTCAGCCACGTCCCAGGCCATCACTTGTCCACATGAGGGGCGGGCCCTGCGGTTCCTCGCCACAGTGGACTCACACCAGCCTGAGGGGTGGGACCCTGACGGCACCCGTGGCTGCCCACCTCATGGCCCTGCTCAGCTTCTCATAGGTCATGCTGCTGTTCTTCTTCTTCTGGCCCCACAGCTGGGCCACAGCCTCTGAGCGCAGGAACTTAAATATGCCCTCTTGCCGGTTCTCCCACTTCATGAGGCCCTCGTTGAGCTCCGGGTGGATGAGGATGTCACGGATGAATTCCCACAGGTGGGTGCCTCTAGGGGCTACAAGACCAATCTCCATCAGTCAGTGGCCCAGGCACCTGTGGCTCCCCCAACCGCCGCCTGGCCCAGCACATGGTCTACTGATGGCTGCCCGCAACCTGGCCCAACGCTGTCTACTGATGGCTGCCTCCCGGCCTGGCCCAACACTGTCTACTGATGGCTGCCTCCCCAGCTGCCCCAACGCTGTCTACTGATGGCTGCCTCCCAGACTGACCCAGCACAAGATCTACTGATGGCTGCCTCCCGGCCTGGCGCAACACTGTCTACTGATGGCTGCCTCCCAGACTGACCCAACGCTGTCTACTGATGGCTGCCTCCCCAGCTGCCCCAACGCTCTCTACTGATGCTGCCTCCCCAGCTGCCCCAACGCTCTCTACTGATGCTGCCTCTCCGCCTGGCCCAACACTGTCTACTGATGGCTGCCTCCCAGACTGACCCAACGCTGTCTACTGATGGCTGCCTCCCCAGCTGCCCCAACGCTGTCTACTGATGGCTGCCTCCCAGACTGACCCAGCACAAGATCTACTGATGGCTGCCTCCCCAGCTGCCCCAACGCTGTCTACTGATGGTGCCTCTCCGCCTGGCCCAGCACAAGATCTACTGATGGCTGCCCCCCTCCTTGTCTACCCCACTGGACAGCCAGGGGAGCTCTAGGAGGACCACGTGTCACATGGCACAGAGGTTTAACCTGCTCAAATACTGATCAGCGTCTCGCTGGGACACGAGAGCCATTGAGACACAGTGGCACCACCTTAAGGAGCTTACAGTTTGGAGGAGTCGTGGAAAAAAGGCAAATTCACCAATGGGTGGTGGGAGCTCAGCAGGGAGGGGACAGAGCTGGCGCCCGCCTGGGGGACGAGGGACAGCTTCTTGAAATAACCCCAGAAGCAAGCAGGCGCCCTGTGTGTGGAAGGGAACTAGTTGTGGGACCCTCCTGGTAGCTCCAGGGGCGGGAGCCCATTGATGGCCTGAGGCCAGCAGGTAGGAGCTTGGTGTGGAAAGGCCACCCCTGCAGAGCCCTCGGGGTGGGGCCTCCAGCGGCCAAGCCTCGGTCCATGCCTGAGCCTGCCCGGACCGCCAGCAGGGTGTCCCTCGGGCAGGAACGCTGGAGTCCAGCCTGAGGCCTTCCTCCTGTAGCCATTGCTACCCCCACACAGGATCCCCTAGCCAGGCTCGGCCACTAGGCTGTGACCCACTCGCACGCTGCGCCTGTGGCCGGAGCACGTGGAGCACCCCAATCAGGAGGAGAGAGGGCCAGTCGCTTCACCTCGGCCCCAGCCCAGGGCCTCCCGAGCCCAGGGCCCCCAAGGACGTGCCCCCCGAGCCCAGGGCCCCCCGGACGTGTCCCCCGAGCCCAGGCCCCCCAGACATGCCCCCCGGACGTGCCCCCGGACGTGCCGCCCAAGCCCAGGCCCCCCGGACGTGCCCCTGGACGTGCCCCCCGCCCTGGGGGGCCCGCTCACTGTGCTTGCTCTTCCTGCCTTCCAGACACTCCCGGGACTCTTTGCTCAGCTTTCGGGGCCGGCCCCTCTTCCGCTTCCCGTGCTTAAGATCCCCCTTCTTGTAGTCAGGAAAGCCATCTGCGGGGGGAGGCAGAAGGTCAGGAGAGGGAGGGCTGGGGGCTGGGGGGCAGCCCTAGAGGAGAGCAGGGGGGGGGCACCCTCGGGGGCCAGGAGACTCCCTCTGCTCACCCCTGGGAAAGAGTTTGCTGTCTGGGGCATCCAAGTCCACGTCACTTCCACCGGAGTCTGAGGCGTGGGGGCTCTGAGACGCGCCAGTCCCTGGGGGGCGGGCCAGAGTGAGCCCCTAGCAGCCCGAGCACTGCCCAGCCAGGGCCTGTCCTCTCAGAAAGCCTGGGCATTGGTGGCTGGCAGAGACCAGGGCTCAGGGCATCCAGGAGGGCGGCCGCGGGCAGACGCCCGAGGGAGGGCTCACCTGCAGTGGAGACGTCGGAGCTGCCTGGGGAGGGCGCCCCCACACCGAAGCTGCCTGTGTAGGGGGGGCTGGCCTGCCTGCAGTCCTCGAGTATCTCCTGGGTGAAGGGGCTTCCCTGGTCTAAGGGGCAGAGGTGAGTGGTCAGAGGGGGCCCTGGCTCTCCCAGCTGAGGGCCGTCAGGCTGGGGAAGGATGGAGGAGGGGCTCTCACCGAAGGGGCCTTGCTCCCCGAGGGGCTCCTGGAGAGCCAGGCTGTCCTTCTCCAGGAGCTCCATGATCCAGCTGAGCTCGTCGGGGAAGCTGGAACCTGAGGAGAAGCGGGTCAGAGCCCAGAGAATCGGCTCCATTCCCCTCCCCTCCCTGGGGCTCTCTCCCGGCCACACCCGCCCTGCAGTGGCGGGGGGGAGGGGGGGGGCAGGCCCCAGACCAGCCTCCCTGAGGGGGTGGAGGGGGCAGGGGGCACGCTTCGGGGCCTGGGGGCACTCACTGAGGTCCCACAGCTGCGAGTAGAGCTGGTCCCCCAGGGGCCCAAACAGCAGGCGCAGCTCCTCGGGTGCGCAGCGGCACAGGGCCGCCCCGTCCAGCTCGCAGCGCGAGAGGTCGATGGTGCCGGGGTCGTACTTGTGTTTCTCCGCCTGGTAGCTGACCCAGTCCAGGACCTGCGCCTTGGACCACAGCTGGGGCTGCTCCCCCAGCCAGCTGGCCTTCTCTGCAAGGGGCCAGCGCAGTCAAGGGTCAGCCTCCTCGGGCGCCCACTGGGGATTCCTGGGGTCCCCCCACTGACCAGGACGGGGGCAGGTGGTGGTGCTCACGGCACCCTGGCCAGCATTCCCCCCAGGCCCGTACCCCCAAGCCCCAACACCCCAGCCCGCCCCTGTCCAATCCTTCCCCGTCCCAGACTCTCAGATGGATGCCCAGCCCCTCCTGAGACCCACCTGTGCCCTCCAGGGCCATCTGCGGGCTGCCCAGGGCCAGCACCAGGTCATCAGCCCCAAAGGTGGGCGCAGGGGGCACAGAGGCAAGAGTGGGGTCTTCCGAGCTGTACATGGTGCTGAAGTAGTTGCTGAAAACGTTGCTGATCTCACAGGTCGCAGCCATGGGGCTCCCTGGAAGGGGGGAGGCTGGTGAGGCCGGCACCCTGCCTCACCCGCGGGCAAGTCTGCTCCCACCAGGCCTGGGGCAGCTAGAGCCCCAAGGGCAGGGAAGGTCAGCCTCTCTTGGTTCAGGCTCTCCTCCAGAGGGGCTCCAGGGTCTCAGAGTGAGGTGGGAGCATGTGGGGAGTGGGGCACCAGGCCAGGCTCCCTGCTCTGCCCACCTGGGTCCGCGGATGGGACCGGCCATCACGGCCACTGTGTCCTTCCTCTGCCGTCAGGACACGGCCCGCCACTCCCGCTTGCGCAGGTTCAGAACCAAGCTCCACCAGCCCCTCCCCGATCCCCCGGGCCAGGCGGGGGTCCTACCGTGGCAGCTGAGGGTGTGGCAGGCAGGCCAGGGGCGGCCAGTGGAGGAAATCCAGGGGAGGGGACCCACCAGGTAGCCAGGTAGCCGAGGCTACAGCCGCGCTCCCAGTGCGCTCAGCAGGGGCGTTGGAGCTCTGCCCACACCCTGGCCTTTATAGGCGCCCGTGGTAACCTGAGCTGGCGGCTCATTGGCCGAGGGGATTTCCTGGCCTTTAGACGGGGCTCCTGGCCCAGGTGATTTGCATACTTTGTGCCACTTGGCCGGGATCCAGGCCGGCAGTGCTGGGAAGTCAGGCCTGGCTGGTTTAATGATTGTCAGGTCCGTCACCCGCACCCTCTGGGGCTGGGCAAGGGGCAGTGGCCTGGGCGGGCGGCCACTAGGTGGGCATGTGCCCTCTCTCCTCAGGAAATTCTTCAGGGGCCAGGCCGGGCTGGGCAGAGGGGAGGGGAGGGGACGGAGTCAGGGCTGGGTCAGGAAGGCCGCCTGCAGGTCTGAGGACTAGGGGCCAGCAGGCAGGCGGGGGCGTCTGTCTGGGGAGACTCCGGACGCGGGGCAACACTCAGGGCTGCAGGACGGGCAGCTGCAGGGCCCACCGCTGGCAGAGGCCGGGGGCAAGGTCTCGGCACCCCCTGCCTGCCAGACGCCACCTGAGCCTCGGGGCTGCTGCAGCTGTGTCTGGGGGCCCTGGCGCTGTCAGAAGGACCCCCCACCTCCCTGCCCCCGACAGAGCTGCCTCTGGGGCCAACGAGCAAAAGGGAGCCAGACGCGTGCGGCCGTGTCTACCTGGTCTAACTGCACAGGCCTGCTGCCCTCTAGCGTCGGACGCCGGGCTCCCTGGGCCCAGCTCAGTGCTCTTCAGGAAGCAGGCCCCATCTGACCCTCAGGGTGGCATCTCACGGCCCACAGACTCGCCCGGGCCACGAATCCCCCAGCTGCTGCGCCCCGCAGACGCCTTCACCCTCCCTGTGGGCAGGGGACCCTTCCACCCACGTCCCCTCCATGAACTCAGCGGTAACCACAAGAGCTGTCCCAAGAGCACAGAGGCCTGCGTGGGGGCAGCCAGGCGTTGGACCCCGGGGCCTCCTCCAATTCCCACCCTTGAAGAGAAGGCTGTGTGGGCCCTAATAGCTCTGGGTCTCCTCCGGATCTTGTTTTTGACGCATCAAAGACGCAACATTTGAGCACCCCTCACCCTCCTTGGTCAGCGCCAGGGCCCAGGCGGCCACCTGCTCGGTCTCCCAAGTGAGAGGACACCCCCCCTTGCTTTAAGCTCAGTAGGACAGGGAGGTCTGAGTCTGGAGTCAGCCTGTCCAGTCTCTGCTCCGGGTGCTGAGGTCCCAGCCCCTCCCTCGGCCTGGGGCGGGTGGGGGTGGGGTGGGCAGGCCAGGCTGCGGGGAGAGCTCCCCAGCCCTCCAGGTGGCCTCCCCCACAGCCCGAGGCACGCCCTCTACCCTGGCCCTGGAATGTGGGCAAACCAGCTCCAGCCTCAGGACGGCTCACGTGCTCCTGAGCCGTCCTCCAGGGCAGGGCCTGTGACCCAAGAGGGCCTTGGAGAGGGCAGGCCTGCGAGGGTAGACGAGCCTTCCCTCCGGGGTCAGCCTGTGAGAGTGAAGGCAGGCGGGGGCGGGGCAGGGCCCCCAGGACCCTCTCTGCCTGGACGAGCCCAGCTCACCTCCAGGATGGGGCAGGGCCGACACGCGGGCCCGCCTCGAGAGGGGCCGGGCATCCCCGGGCAGGGGGCAGGGGGCAGGGGGCAGGGGGCAGGGGGTGACAGCTCAGGGCGCCTGCTGCACCGCTGGATTCGACCCCGACCCCGGCTAAGGAAGGGCCTCGGGGCCCTCAGTGTCCCAGGGTCCACACGCCCCACGGTTCACAGAGACCCGGGGCTGAGCGCCTAGATGCTCGGGGAGCCGGGCCCTCGGGGCCCTCAGTGTCCACACGGAACCGGGGCTGAGAGCCTAGATGCTCGGGGAGCCGGGCCCTCGGGGCCCTCAGTGTCCCAGGGTCCACACGCCCCACGGTTCACAGAGACCCGGGGCTGAGCGCCTAGATGCTCGGGGAGCCGGGCCCTCGGGGCCCTCAGTGTCCACACGGAACCGGGGCTGAGAGCCTAGATGCTCGGGGAGCCGGGCCCTCGGGGCCCTCAGTGTCCACACGGAACCGGGGCTGAGCGCCTAGATGCTCGGGGAGCCGGGCCCTCGGGGCCCTCAGTGTCCACACGGAACCGGGGCTGAGCGCCTAGATGCTCGGGGAGCCGGGGCCTCAGGGCCCTCAGTGTCCACACGGAACCGGGGCTGAGAGCCTAGATGCTCGGGGAGCCGGGCCCTCGGGGCCCTCAGTGTCCCAGGGTCGACACGCCCCACGGTTCACAGAGACCCGGGGCTGAGCGCCTAGATGCTCGGGGAGCCGGGCCCTCAGGGCCCTCAGTGTCCACACGGAACCGGGGCTGAGAGCCTAGATGCTCGGGGAGCCGGACCCTCAGGGCCCTCAGTGTCCCGGGGTCCACATGCCCCGCGGTTCACAGAGAACCGGGGCTGAGCGCCTAGATGCTCGGGGAGCCGGGCCCTCGGGGCCCTCAGTGTCCACACGGAACCGGGGCTGAGAGCCTAGATGCTCGGGGAGCCGGGCCCTCGGGGCCCTCAGTGTCCCGGGGTCCACACGCCCCGCGGTTCACAGAGAACCGGGGCTGAGCGCCTAGATGCTCGGGGAGCCGGGCCCTCGGGGCCCTCAGTGTCCCGGGGTCCACACGCCCCGCGGTTCACAGAGAACCGGGGCTGAGCGCCTAGATGCTCGGGGAGCCGGGCCCTCAGGGCCCTCAGTGTCCACACGGAACCGGGGCTGAGAGCCTAGATGCTCGGGGAGCCGGGCCCTCGGGGCCCTCAGTGTCCCGGGGTCCACACACCCCGCGGTTCACAGAGAACCGGGGCTGAGCGCCTAGATGCTCGGGGAGCCGGGCCCTCGGGGTCCTCAGTGTCCACACGGAACCGGGGCTGAGCGCCTGGGCTTTGAGGGGTCCAGGCGCCGCAGCAGCCCTCCTCGCCTGTAACAGCAGCCGGAGCGGCCCTGGCCCAGCCAAGGAGACAGTTTGCTGGGTGGGGTTGGGGTCCTTCGCGGACCTCGCGGCCAGGGCAGGGTCACAGGAGCTAGAGCCTGGGTCTAGGAAGAGCCACTTGGAGATATAAGTGCTTCTCTGTGACCCTCCCCACCCTAGTCACCCCCACCCCAAGGTGCTGACTGTTGAGATCCCCACGTGGAAATCAGAGCTTGGAGTGAAGTTCTGGGCAGACTCTACTTGTGACCACACACAGCTACAAACCCGGGAGCTGGGGGCAGAGAAAACGCTCCAGGGCTCAGCCATCTGCAGCAGCGTTAAAGAGCAGTGGGGGAGGCCTGCAGAGGATGGCCTGCCCCCTCCGGGAGAGTGGCCGCCGCTGACGTGGACACGCTTCCTGCAGAACCCCGCGCGGTCCTGCTCCTCACAGCTCAGGGGCACCCCACCTCCAGCCCGTACCCCTAAAGGACAGGGAGAGCGTCCTGCCCTGACCCGCTCAGAACAGAGGGGGGCCTGGGAGAAGGAATTTCAGTCATCAAAACACTTTTCATTTTAAAATATTTATTAAAATAATGATTAAACCTGAAAAAAGAATCTCCAGAAATCAGCTCTTGGCACAGTATTTCAAAAATCAGAAAAAAAAATTAAAGAATTAAAAAAAGAAAGAAAAAAGAAAACCATGCCTGCTCTCCCGAGACCCCAGTGGGGAGGGGAGGCCTGCCACCCCCAGCCCAGGGAGCAGGGAGGTTCTCGGTCACAGGCCAGGTCCAGAGCCAGCCCGTCAGAGCGGAAGCCCAGGGTCGGGGATCAGGTGCCCTGGTGGGGCCTTGACCTGGAGCAGCCGCTGTGGGCCGAGCCGGCAGAGGCCAGGGCGGGAGGCTCTACCTGCCCAGGGGCTCCACGATCTGCTGGACGTAGTGGGCCACGTTGCTGTGCAGCTGGGGCGCCGTGGCCGCAAAGGTCTCCTTGGCGAGGGTCTGGGCAGCCGCGCTGCCCGCCATCATGGCATGGTACAGGGGGAGCGTATACTTCTGCTTCCCCTGCGAGAGGAGGCTCGTGCTCAGGGTCTGTCGGCCAGCTAGAGGGTCGCAGCCCTGCCCCTGCCCCAGGGCCCATCTGACGGCCCAGCCTGCTGCTGCCCCAGGGCCCAAAGGGATGTGGATTTCCGTGCTGGAAGGGGCGGGGGGCGGGGAGGGGGGCTTCCCAGACACGAAGCCTCGTGTTCTGGAATCTTCTCAGAGGCCATAGACCCTCACGGCTAGGTCTCCCAGTCACCCTCTTGGATATGTCCACACTCGACAGAAACGAGTGGCGTGGGCACGCAGGAGGCTCCACAGCTTAGAGCTCTCAGAGGTCAGAGCTCCGAGGCAGCAGCACACGGCCAAGACCGCAGTGCCTAACCCACACACGGGGCTCCGGGGGACCACCCGTAGCCAAGAAGGAAGCCGCACCCCGACAGCTGCACCAGACGGCCACACAGGATGCCGCGGCCTCAGGGGCTCGGGAGGGAGTCTGACCCAGTCTGGCCCGTGGCCCGGATCCGGCCCTCCTCTGGACTCTCGCGGAACGACCTCCCAGCAGGCCG